AAAAAAGGAATGACATGTGGCTATTATACGAGCCTTGGCCATTCTCGATGCGTCAAATAATTCGAGCACCACGCCACTGGGGGTAATCGAACACCAGACTAGAGGGGACTTACAACTGACAAACAGATACCTGACCAACTGATATGAGTATGCGGGGCATAGAGAGAGAGAGAGAGAGAGAGAGAATTAGCGGGGCACACATGTTCCCTAGAAATTGGACTTGCAATCAGCCTGAAATCAAATATTAACCAACCCAAACCACTCCATGATATTATTCTCTCAGCTGCCGCCAAGCTTTCTGAATATTTTCTTCCATCTGAAATCATTTAGGCTTCCCACCAAAGCAACACACTACCAGACATAACAAATCCTCTTGAGCTTAACACTCTTCCTTCCAATTCATTCCCTCGTTCTCTTCTCCTCCTTCTCTTTCTCCATCTCCTTCCTCTCCTTTCTGTAATCTGATTCAGTTTATACTAATATGGCTCTGAAGCAGCGGGTGGAGAGGTTCATCATGCTTCCCTTCTCAGTTGGTTGTGCTTCTCAGTCAGCTATTAGAGTCTCCAAGAACCAACCAAAGAATACTCACATCAAAGAAGTCTTCATGCTTGAAGGTAACTTTTTCTTCAAAACTCGAGCCTAGAAACTGTCGATCGATTAATGATTCGATTTCAAGTTGAGCTGGGGTCTGCTCTAAAAAAATTCAATCTAAGAATTGGTTCATAGCCATGCTCGTTTATTTTGATACGAGCCAAAATTCATATCAATTTTCGAGTGATTATTGTTCTTCTAGCTGAATTCACAGCCCCCTACTGTTTACTTAATTCTAATTTTTTTCTTTCAAGTAGATGAAGATGGGAGGGAGGAGAATGCTAGACCCAAGAGTTCCTCATTCTTTCTCCAGCTCCAAAGACCAAACTTCTTTGTTGGTATTCATAAACTAGCTAAAGGACTTAAGAACTTATCTGCTCTGTTCACAATCTACAAAAATGAAGATGAAGAAGAAGAAGAGGCAGATATGGAGATTGGACACCCTACAGATGTGCAGCATGTGGCTCACATAGGATGGGATGGCTACAATAATGTGAGTGGAATGAAGAGCTGGGAGAAAGCACCAGAGTTCTTAACTTTATCTTCCCTTTCTTTGAAGCAATGTGAGTTGGCCATGTCCGCACAGGTGCAGGGTAGTCGTCCTCTTTGAGGTTTGGATTAGGTTTTGTGGAGCCTTGATTAATTAATTGTATTGGTTTCTTTGGTTTTTGTAACTTTATGTTATTGTAGCTGTATTGAGGGTTACATGTGAGTTTGTATAGACAACTTTAATATGGGAATCTTTACTTCTTTCTTTTCTATGCTTCCTTTTTCTAAGGATGTGGGCTCCTGC